GCTACGGTCTTGGTTTTAAACTGCGTACACTTCATTAAATATAATTTTTATTCAAAAACTTAATTATGTAAGTTAACAAGAAGATAACCTACATCAATAATTATGTTCGCTTAAGTACCCGCATCGAGGTACTTAAGCGGGTTATCTTAAGTACCCAACCCGTCTAAGTTCCTCAAAAAGCTGACCTTTTTCGAGAGGTACTTAAGCGGGTTTTACTGCATGTATATAAACAAATTAACAATTTTGACATTTTTCTCCTCACTGTATATGGGGTGTTCAATACCAAAACGGACGGTGTTCACACTTCATGTGTTTGATTTGTTTCAAATTTTTAGGGTTGATACATAAACATAAATAATAAATATTTAAAAATTTTACAGCACAAAAACAAAAACAATAGTTTTCTAAATATCTCGAGAACGAGGAGACGAAAAAATAGAAAAAAAACACACATACACACATCAATAAAAATCTCTATGAAAAGAGATATCTAAATTTTTTTTTTCATGAAAAATTTTTTCACATACAAATTTTTTGATAAAAAAAATAGTTTTTGAAAATATGCCGTCTCAAAAAAAAATCACAATAGTAGCTCTGATTATTGCGCAATATTTAATTCAATAAAAAAAGTGCAAAAAGCTGTCAGCATAAAAAATATTACAAATCAACGCAACTTTGGAATGTATCAATCATATTCAGTATGGATTAAACATTCTTGAAAATGGCGAAGAGTTATGGGCCAGTATTTAGACAAGCCGTATCATCTGCATACGGCTTTACGTATAATACATACCATAAAAACTAAATGTATGCAGGAAACCGCAGCAAATAGAGAAAGCAGGAAAATTATATAAATTAATCTTTAACCTCCCATTTTTTTTGAAGATTTGAAAGGATAATCTAAACAATAACCTCTTTTTTGACTTCTGAGCAACCATGGTATAAACTAGTTCACTGAAATAAATATTTTCCTAAACCAATTAAAATTTATTTAAAATGAACTCACATACTCGTATTTTGCTAAACACGCTTAATCAATTTAAATATATATAAAGCTCAACGGTTTTCCTCTCCGCGACTGGTATTTACTTTTAATTAAATGAGTTATCATTAAAAGCCGCATTGGAAAATTGAAGACATCGCCGAGTTGTTGGCGTGAAATATAGGAAAGAAACTACAAATTAGCAGATAAAAAAGCTACACGCAAATATAACCGAATCAAGATGTCGAAAAACTCCAAAGCAACAGAAGCAATTATATTTGCAGAAAAAACGCCTGCAACTGAGGCAAAAGCATAATCCCTGAATTGTGTGCAACAAAGTGTCGTTAATTAAATCTCTGCTGGTGGAGTCTTGTTGCACGCCGCACAGTGGTGCAGCCCTATTATTGTTTTTGGAAATAATTTTAAAGAGTTGGCGCAGCAACTCAAGCAATTTTTTTTTAGTCGAAAATATCCGCAATTTTTTTCAGGAATCTAAAGAAAATATTTCGGTTTTGAAAGATTTATTAATAAATGAAATGAAATACAATTTTTCTATACCTAAAAGACCGAGGAAGACAGAGGAAAAAAGTGTTTATTCAGCAAATGTGTAAAGTCAGCATTTATAAAGTATAATCGAAATATCAGCAAAAAAAAAGTATTAAAGATCAACGTGAATTTTTACAGCCAATTTCACGAAAGCAAATTTAAATTAAAAATTATCTTAATTTTTTGAATTCGATATGCAGGTAACACCGGCTGTTAGCCACCTGAAACTAAAATTTAATTAAAAATTGAATGGGCTATAAACTGCATACGCATTTTTTTGTTATAAAAATTAAAACAACATTTTTAATTATGGTGAAATATTTTTGTAACATTTTCAATTTTTTTTCAGTTTATTCATTGTGGGGGCCCCCTATGATTGTTTTTAACAAATTTTCATTCAATAGCATTCATTATCACGAACGGCAGAATCGATTTTCCTCAAAATTTCTACTTTCTCTGAACTTTGTCCTAAAAAAATTTATATAAACAAATAAAAATTCCAAAGACCTGTCTGAATCTTATCAGGATGAAAATACGCAAAGATTTTTTGTATGCAAAATGAGCAGGGAATAATGCTACTCATACGTGAAATGGGCCATAAACAAAAAAAATCAAAAATTGGGTTAAAAAAAAAGGCTCTAAATCTCATCAGCTTTCATAAAAAAAGGAATTTATAAAATCGGTTCAAAAATTAAGGCTCCCTACTACTTTGAACAGTAAATTCAAATTTGGCATCACTGTGCGCCTGCGAATGCTTACCCCTATACTCTATTTTGGTATGCCATAACTATACACTTCAACAATGATTGCTATTCCCAGTGGGAATTAGGAGCACGTAATAATACCTTATTAGCAACTTACTCTTTACCTGGCAGTCATTACCATTTCCCTGCCGAACGTCCCTTACTTTTAC